CCTGGGTGACAGAGCAAGACTCTGTCTCAAAAAAAAAAAGTGAAGACAATCTACAGAATGGGAGAAAATATTTTCAAATTATATATCTGATAAAGGGTTATTATCCAGAGTGTTTCCTATTACAACAACAAAAAGACAAACAATTAAAGCATAGGGAAAGAATTTGAATAGACATTTCTCCAAAAAATATACATAAAGTGCCAAAAAGCACATAAAAAGATACTCAAGACTCAAGGCAGTGATTCATACCTATAATCCCAGCACCTTGGGAGACCGAGGCGGGTGGATCACCTGAGACCAGGAGTTCGAGACCAGTCTGATCAATATAAATACGGTGAAACCCCATCTCTACTAAAAATACAAAAATTAGCCAGGAGTGGTGGCATCCACCTGTAGTCCCGGCTACTACTTGGGAGGCTGAGACAGGAGAATTGCTTGAACCTGGGAGGCAGAGGTTGCAGTGAGCCGAGATTGCACCACTGCACTCCAGCCTGGGCAACAGAGCGAGACTCCATCTCAAAAAAAAAAAAAAAAAAGTCACTCAACACCATTGGAAAATGTCAATACGGAAATTTGCAAATCAAAACCACAATGAAACACCACTTCACAACCTACTAGGATGGCTACAAATCGTGTGTGTGTGTGTGTGTGTGTGTGTGAAATGTTGGCAAGGATGTGGAAGAGTTAGAACCCTGGTACATTACCTTACTAGTAAGAATGTAAAATGGTGCAGCTACTGTAGAAAACAGTTTTGTGGTTCCTCAAAAACTAAGCATAGAATTGCTATCTGACCCAGCAATTCCACTTCAAGGTATAAACCCGAAGAATTAAAAGCAGAGACTCAGAGACTTGTACACCAATGTTCATAACAGCATTTTCACAAAAGGTAGAAGCAATCCAAGCATCCATCCACAGATAAATGGATAAACCGTATTATATACATACAATGGAATATTATTCACGTATAAAAAGAAATGAAATTGATACATGCTACAACATGAATAAACCTTGAAAACATACTAAGAGAAAGAAGCCAGACACAAAGGGACAAATATTACTTGATTCCACTTATAATAAGGTATCTAGAATAGGCAAATGCATAGAAACAAAAGTAGATTCGACTTTACTTGGGGCTGGGAGAAGCAAGAAATGGGAAGTGATTGCTTAATGGGTACAGAGTTCCTGTTTGGGGTGATGAAAAAACTTTGGAAACTGATAGTGGTGATGGTTGCAGAACATTGCTAGTATAATAAATGCTGCCGAATTGTACACTTCAAAATGGTTAAAATCAGAAATTTTGTGTTATAAATATTTTAGCACAAAAAACTCAAGAAGTAAATAAGTAAATAAACTTATCTTTATTGGAGTAAAAGAAAGAAACAAGCAAGACTCAGCACTATGTTGCTCAGGCGTAGATATCAAAGAGTCAAAACTGTGTTTTTAAATTTCTTGTTGGAATGGAAAACCCAAAATATAAAATGTTACATCTCATGGGGAGGTAAGAGGAAAGTATAAGAGAAAGACACTTAGGTAAATATAAATAAATTGTTAATGACCCAGCTTTTGGGCTGGGTAGTAGGTTCATTAACGTACATTATATTATTGTGCTTTATTTTTAATAAAACACATATATGCCCACACATGTATGTCCCATATAATATTTTATAAGTATTAAATAAAATATTTTAAAATATGAAGGAGGGAGGGACTCATCCTAAGGACATAGTGAGAGGCCCCTTTTCCATGAATTGGATCCAGTAGGTCTGCATGGGGATGTGAGAATCTACATTTCAAGCGTCCATAACTTCCCACCCTTGCAGGTATGAGGCAATAGACGGCAACTCTTCAGTCATAAGCAGGAGCTCATTTCTCCACCCCTGGAATCTGGGGTTGGCTCTGTGACTATGTTGAAATAGTAGCAGACGTAACAAGGATAGTCTTGAAATGTGCTTGTGAATTGGGGTTTGCCTGCTTTTACAACACCTGGAATCTGGGAGCTGCCCTGTGAATGAGCCCAAGTTATTCCTCCATTGCTGGAGAATGAAATGTCCCCATAGAGCAGAACCCAGGCATCCCACCTGACAGCCAGCCAGCCCCAGATTCCCAGAAGCCTTCCACAGGTGCATGAGTGAGCTCCTGCCAAGATCAGCTGAAACTGGTCCTGACCAAAACCACCTCCAGCTAAGCCCACATTGCTGACCCACAGAATCATAAGCTAAATAAAAGACGACTCTTCCAAGCTACAAAGCTTGGGGAAGACTCATTAGGTAGCAAATGTTAACCAGTAGAACCGGTGTATGGAATGATGGAAATAGCTGCTCTGACTGAATCTAGGGTGAAGATATTAGAATTCTGCTCCCTAGGTCCCTGGGTTCCTGCTGTCCTCTGTCACAGCTTGTCTTTACCTGTGCTTTGCCACCCAGTTTTTCCTTCAATGGCCAGAAGGAGGGAGCTACACCCTACGTTTTCCAAAGAGAACCTGCGCTGTAGACTGTAAAGGATTCCACTAAAACTGGAACACTTCTGTCCTATGGCATCCTCATGCCCTCCTCCCCCTCCCAGCTCATCCAGTCCATCATTCCTCCCCACAGAAACTGTCAAACCTCAGCCTTTCACAGTCCTCTCTCTAGAATCTTGCAAATGTCACAGCCCCAGCCTTCTTTTTTCTTTTCTGTCCAGTTGCTGCTACTTTTCCACAGAGGGAAGAGATGGCCTCTATCTCTGCAGCTCTGTGGGTCCCCAGGGAAGTGGGGAGAACGCCGGTCCTATGAAATGGAGGGAGAGACTTCCTCCTCGGACTGGTGCGCTCCTAGGGTGTCTAAAATGAACCATTTCTCACCACTGCTGTAGAACAATTGTTTGCTCACTAGGTGCATGAAAATTCACATTCTTCCTCTGAACATACCCTGAACTCTATTACTCTGACCCCTTGTCTTGGGCAACAGGGGAGCATTCACACACAGCCTTCCTGCCCTGGGCGTCTTTCATTAACTTGAGAAACAGAAATTGAGGGGCAGAAATAAAAACTGTAACACAAGTAAGTACTGCCTGTCTTGTCAGCTTCTGTCTGCAGTGGAGAAGATCCAGCCCTTAGAAGCATAAAAGCTGTCCGCAGAACCAGCCCTGCAGGTACTTTAGGAGAAAAGCCAGTCAACTTCTAGTAACAACAGGTAACATTGGGAGGGTCCTATGTGCCAGGCACTGTACTGTGTGCTTTCTGTGTATTTATTCATCTAATTCTTCAACAGCCCATAAGCACTGGGTCTTTTAATTATTTAACAACCCCATTTTTTTATAAGTGGGGCACAGAGAGGATGAGAAACTCGTTCAAGGTAACACAGCTAGTAAAGAGAGGAGGCAGGATTCAAACCCAGGCCAAGCCCTTGGCCACCCTGGGGTGCTACCTCTCCCACATGACGAACTACACAGAATTTTCAAGACTCCCTCACATGGGCTGGACACAGTGGCTCATACCTATAATCCCAGCACTTGGGAGGCCATGCTGGAGGATTGCTTGAGGCCAAGAGTTCAAGGTGAGCCTGGGCAATGTAGGGAGACCCATCTCTACACAAATAAAAAATAAAAAAATAAGAAGTTAGCCAGGCATAGTGGTATGCACCTGTAGTTCCAGCTACTCAGGGGACTGAGTGGGGAGGATCACTTGAGCCTGGGAGAGGCTGCAGTGAGCTCTGACTGTGCCACTGTACTCCAGCCTGGGCAACACAGCAAGACCCCGTCTCAAAAATAAAATAAAAAAGATTCCCTCACATAATCAGCATCAAGGGCTCACCATTAGAGTCGCTTTTAAGAGTCATCTGGAGACAGATCTTTCGCTGGGTTAAGGCATTTCTTACCTGGAAGGGATAGCAAACTTGCTAGCTAACCACATTAGCCAGGCTAAGGGTGTCAATTCTACGTGGTTATGGAAGCCCATTAAGAACCTTGTGTATCAGATTTAAGCCATGACTGAGGCAGTGATGCCCAGCAAAGAGGATAAAGAAGACCTTAAAGCATTGGCACCCAAGTCTGGAGAAGCCTGAGGCTGCAAAGAGTTGGAGGCTGTCTCCAAGCATGACCCCTGTGTTGGCCTTGGGGGCACTGGAGCAGACAGAAACCACGTGGGCCATGGCTGGAAAGCACATTAGGAAATAGGTCAAGGAAACTACCTGACAAAGCATTTGGGCAAGAGTGCCCTGGGTGCCAGCCAGATGCAGAGAGGAGTTGAACCATCCACCCTGGTCATAGGACAGATCTCTCCAGAAGGAATGGAATTTAAATGGAGCTCTGCTTTTGAGCAGTCAGTGCAAGAAATCAGGGACTTGCATAAACTTGCCACGCCCCAAAGCAAATCCCCTCTCCACTAAAGAGGCACTGGGCTTGTTGTAGGGTGTGATCCACTGGATGCTGGCAGGCTGTGTTTGTGCTTGTCTCTTCTGAGAGACTGAGAGATGCTGGAAAACTCAGCATCTCAGTGAATGACTGAAAGAATGAGGGAGTGAAAGAACATGAATGTGGACCAACCCTATACACATGCAGACATATGTATGTGTGTTTAGATATTTATATATATGCGTTTCTATTTTCAAATGATTATTTCCGGGTCTCGGATAGAGGTGAAATTCTAACCTACTCAGAGTGATTTCTTTTAGGTTCCCAGACCTGGGATCCACATTTTTTGCTCTGCTGAGGTAGGAAGGTGTCACTAGATCCCTTAAGAACTGCAAATTAAACAACTGTGAGAATGGTTGAAGCTCAAAAGGCTGCTCAGCTTCTCAAATACCCAGTGACTGAAATAACTGGCCAGCTTCTCAAATAGCCAAGGCAGTGCCAAGGTTACTACTCAGGAGACTGTCTTCCACGTGCCTGGGGCAGACAGGAAGTGTTCTGACCCTCTGCCCACAGCTGTGTTCCTGTACCCACCAACTCAAGTGATTAACGGGGTGGCAGGTGGTGCAGCAGCCAGGTGACCTTCACACACTGGAACTCGTTTTGTTTCCTAGGGGACACTTTCCAGATGGGGTTTTCAGCACTCAGGAAACCTCTTCGTGGCCGGCAGGAATGCAAGAAGTGCAGTGTTCATCCATCTCCTCTCCTGAAGCCCTGCCCTTTGGAGCCTCGTCCTTGTATTGCTGCCAAGGTATTTCACAAATTCCAGATCATTCCCACACTGTTCCTGCACACACACCACTATCCCCTGTCCCCTGCTGTCCTCTTGCATGTGACAAGCCACAGTGACTTTATTTGCTACATTTCTAACCACAAGGTTCTTACAGAAATTTCCCCTGGCTGCCAAGACTCATTCAACATTATAGGTGGCCCAGACTAGAGGGTAGGTAACATTATTCTCTCAGAATGTTCTTATGGTGTGTTGGGACCAGAGATCTGCACCTGGAGGAAAGAGAAATCCTGAAACATGTTTTAGCCAAGTAGGAAGCACATAACATCTCTTCTAAGCAAATATAAAATGATAGTAGACCTCAATCTGGCTTATTAGCTAGGATTTAATTTGACTAAGTGACTTAACAGGGATTAAAGCACACAAGGTCCCAGCCTGAGCAACATAGTGAAACCCTATGTCTACAAAAAATACAAAAATTAGCCAGGTGTGGTGGCATACACTTGTAGTCCCAGATACTCTGGAGGCTGAGGTGGGAAGATCACTTGAGCCCAGGAGATTGAGGCTGAAATGAGCCATGATCATGCCAGTGTACTCCAGCCTAGGTGACAGAGCAAGTGAGACCTTGTCTAAAAAATATTTTTTAAATTTTTAATTAAAAAAACACACACACACAGATACACAAGGTTCTGTTTTCTCAAGTAAAATGGGTGGGGAAGTAGGCAGACAGAGCTGGTATTGGCAGCAGCATTAAGCTCTTTCCAGCTTTTGCCTCCATCATCCTTGCAGGGTGACCCTGATCCTTAGGTCTAAAATAGATGCCAGAGCTCCAGCCATCATACCCGTATTCCAGGCAGCAGCAGACTTTCCAGAAACTTCACACAATACTTTCACATATATGTCATTGAATAGCACTTGGTCACAGGACCACATCCAACTATATTGGAACCCAGGAAATGTCTTTATGCTGGGAATCCAGAACATGGAACCACTGATATGGTTTGGCTGTGTCCTCACCCAAATCTCATCTTGAATTGTAGTTCCCATAATCCCCACGTGTCATGGAAGGGACCCAGTGGAAGGTAATTGAATCAGGGGGCAGTTACCCTCATCTGTTCTCATGATAGTGATTTCTCATGAGATCTGATGGTTTTATAAGGGGCTTTCCCCCGACCTTCACTCTGCACTTCTCGGTCTGCCACCATGTGAAGAACATATTTGCTTCCCCTTCCACCATGATCGTAAGTTTCCTGAGAACTCCCCAGCTGTGCTGAACTGTGAGTCAATTTTCTTTCCTTTATAAATTACCCAGTCTTAGGTATGTCTTTATTAGCAGCATGAGAACAGACTAAAACAGCCATCTATAAGATAAGTGGCCTGATCTCATGAGAGGTTACTGTTCTAGATTAAAAGAAACTAGTAGGACATGGTGGCTCATGCCTGTAATCCCAGCACTTTGGGAGGCCAAGGTGGGCGGGTCACCTGAGATCAGGAGTTTGAGACTAGCCTGGCCAGCATGGTGAAACCCCGTCTCTACTACAAATACAAAAAAAATTAGCTGGGTGTGGTGGCAGTCCCCTGTAATGCCAGCTACTCTGGAAGCTGAGGCAGGAGAATAGCTTGAACCTGGGAGGTGGAGGTTGCAGTGAGCAGAGATCGTGCTAATACATTCCAGCCTGGGCAACAGAGTGAGACTCCCTCTCACAAAAAATAAATAGGACGGGCGCGGTGGCTTACACCTGTAATCCCAACACTCTGGGAGGCTGAGCGGGTGGATCACGAGGTCAGGAGATCGAGACTATCCTGGCTAACACAGTGTAACCCTGTCTCCACTAAAAAATACAAAAAATTAGCCAGGCGTAGTGGCGGGCTCCTGTAGTCCCAGCTACTTGGGAGGCTAAGGCAGGAGAATGGCGTGAACCCGGGAGGCGGAGCTTGCAGTGAGCCAAGATCGTGCCACTGCACTCCAGCACTGCAGCTTGGGCGACAGAGCGAGACTCCGTCTCAAAAAAATATAAAAATAAAATAAATAAATAAAATAAAATAAAGAAAGAAACTGAAGAGGCATATGGATGAGCCTTGATTGGATATGGAAGATATTTTGGATACAACAGAAGAAATTTGAACATGAACTCAGTGTTAGATGACATTAGCAAATCATGGTTAATTCTCTTATGTGTGATTATAGAATTATGGTTACATAGGAGCATGTACGTAGATAATGCAGGTTACAAAGTACTTAGGAGTGAATCAAAATACACAATAAAAATAGGCTAAAAGATTGGCAGAGCCAACAGGGAAAAGATAGTAAGAATTACTGAGTGTAGGTGGAAGGAGTATGGATATCCATTTCTTTCAGATTTTCTGTATATCTAAATTTTTTTTTTTTTTTTTTTTTTTTTTTTGAGACAGAGTCTCACTCTGTCACCCGGGCTGGAGTGCAGTGGCGCAATCCTGGCTCACTGTAGCCTCTGCCTCACAGGTTCAAGCAGTTCTCCTGCCTCAGCCTCCTGAGTAGCTGGGACTACAGGCATGTGCCACCACGCTCGGCTGATATTTGTATTTTTAGTAGAGACAGGGTTTCCCCATGTTGCCTAGGCTGGTCTAGAACTCCTGGCCTCAAGTGATCTGCCCATCTTGGCCTCCCAAAGTGCTGGGATTACAGGCATGAGCCACCATGCCCAGCCTAAAATTCCTTATAATACAAATTATAGGAGGGTAATTATCTATTTGTGCTGACTGTTCCTCAGCTTTCTCATGTGAGGCTGATGGCCTTCTGGTGAAAATGAGTGAGGTTCCTGTCAGTATTCTGGAACCAGTCAACACAAAGGGTCTGAGGAGTGGGTTGAAGCCCATGGTCTCAGCCAGGATGGATCTTAGAGCTTGTGGATGTAGGGAGAGAAAACTGCCCTCCAGCCTCAGCTTCTCCGATAGTCTGTCATCACCCAGCACTGCTGCAAGGATCCACAAATCCCATCACCTATTTGAGATAACAACACAACAGAAGATAGAAAATGAATCTAAGACATCTTACGTAGTGGAGACATCAGTACTCTGTCAGGACATGACTGGGTGGAGCAGAACAAATGCCAGACTTGAGATTAGGAGAATTTGTTGCCCCCTCCACCATTTCTGCCCATATCACCTTGGAGCAGGTGCTTAATCTGTTTCCTCGACTGTAAAATGGGGATTGTAATTGCCACCCTCACCTGCTCCACAGAGCTGTCTGAGGCTTCAATAAGATAATGTGTGTGATTTCTGGTAAATGTGCAAGACCATTTGGAAGAAAAGCTTGCTTGTCCCTGAACTACTGCTTCATCCTGTTAGGCTCGCATGCAATTATCCACAGACCCCAGAACCAGGTGAACTTTTTCAAAACCCTGCTTGTGGTGGTTGAAAAATATCTCCACAAATTATTGGACATTCCTCCCTTCAAAAGTGGAAGCCACCACATTTTTCTCACCAGCTTGCTTGGAAAAAAAGAAAACAAAAGTGGAAGCCATTCCCTTGAGTGGTGGGCTGGACAAAATGACTTGCTTCTAACACAGGGTTTCCAGAGAAGATATATGATACCCAATGAAATTTGAGTTCAGATAAACAACAAATAAATTTTAGAATAAGTATGTCCCAAATACTGCATGAGATAGACTTACACTAAAAGTGTATTCATTGTTTATCTCAAATTCAAATTTAACTGGGCATCGTTTTGTTTTAGTTTTGCTTAAACTAGCAACTCTATTCCAATGAGTAGAATGAGGCTGGGCACAGTAGCTCATGCTTGTAATCCTAGCACTTAGGGAGGCCAAATCTGGAGGATCACTTGAACCCAGGAGTTCGAGACCAACCTGGGCAATATAGTGAAACCCAATCTCTACAAAAAAATACAAAACTTCGTGAGCCCTAGTGGCATGTACCTATAGTCCCAGCTACTCAGGAGGCTGAGGTGGGAGGACTGCTTGAGCCGTGGAAGTTGCAGTGAGCCGTGATCATGCCATTGCACTCCAGCCTGGGTGACAGAGCAAGACCCTGTCTCTATAAATAAAATAAGAATAGAATGAATGTGGCATAAGTAATGATGTGTGACTTCCAAGACTAGGTCATAAAGGCACTGTAGCTTTCACCTTGCTCCCTCTTAGCTTACTCACTCTGGAGGAGCTGGACGCCATGTTGTAAGGACACTCAAGCAGCCCTATGGAGAGGTTCACCTACACTTCCTGCCAACAGCTTGCATCAGGAGGAGATGCTCATACCCTGGGGGCGCCAGTTCTATTGAATCCTAGCCTCATAGTTTAGGGAAGTTATTTAATCTCTCAAAGCACTTGTTTTATCTGTAACTATGGGTATACTAATATCTGTTTTCAGGACCTATCTGTGATCAGAAACATAAAAAACAATAGCTAACATTTATGAGAAATTTAGAATATGCTAAGCACTATTGTAAGCACTTCACATTTAATTCACATAGTAACCCTCTGAGATTGGTGCTGTCCTTATTCCCATTTTACACATTGGGAAACTGAGGCACACAAAATTTACATGATCACCCACACCTAATAAGTATATAATGTGACAGGCACATAATATGCATCCTTTTTTTTTTTTTTTTTTAAAGAAAGAGACTTGCTCTTGTTGCCCAGGCTGGAGTGCAGTGGCCTAATCTCAGTTGACTGCAACCTCTGCCCCCTGGGTTCAAGCGATTCTCCTGCCTCAGCCTCTGAAGTAGCTGGGATTACAGGTGCGCGCCACCACATGCAGCTAATTTTTGTATATTTTGTAGAGATGGGGTTTCGCCATGTTGCCCAGGCTGGTCTCAAACTCCTGAGCTCAAGAAATCCTCCTGTCTCAGCCTCCCAAAATGCTGGGATTACAGGCTTGAGCCACTGTGTCCAGCCTGCATCCTTTTACTTTTTTTTTTTTTTTGAGACAGAGTCTTGCTCTGTTGCCAGGTTGGAGTGCAGTGGCACTATCTTGGCTCACTGCAACCTCCACCTCCCACGTTCATATGATTCTCCTACCTCAGC